TATTACAATCCAACATTTATAAACTCAAGGCTCACTAAAGTATTTATTTTATTAAATTTAGAAAACAGCAAAAAAGTCTTGTATTTTTAGGTAAGTAACTATAGAATTTTTGGAGAATCGAAATATGCCAAATAAAATTTCTTGTTTGAATACACTGCTATGTGCTGATTTTGATTTCTATAGTAATAGGTACAATAATTTAATTAGAATTCAAATGAATTTTGGAACTTCACATAAATATTTAATTATTGTTTCAATATCCTATCATATTTATATATCCAAGAAATGAATTAACTCATCTATAACTGAAAATAGACTATTATATAAAAGTTATAGCTAATTTTGTAATCATTAGTCATTACTCATTAGTCATTACTAATAAGTCTTTAAGAAATTATTTTTATTTCAAACAAAATAGAATTCAAAACATTGTGTTTAACATGCTTGATGCTAAATTGCTAAACCCGTTTAATTTTAATTTAAAATTTAAAATCTTACAAGTTTCATAGCTTGGTAAAAACCAGATTAACATTAAAAAAAAAAAAATCACGCTAAATAAACAGTAACTAACCTAACCTAAATGTATTATTATGTGTAGAAGTGGAATATAAAATATATTTTAAACCACCGCATATTGTGACGTACATAAACAGTGTAAATTATATTATTTAGTAATAATTAGTATGAAAGGATTTTCTTTCGACATTTTTTCTATTGTTGTTAATAAACGGTCAAGGTCAATTCAATTGACCTAATGTGCACGCAGATAAGCAAAGTGACAAATCGGCGTTTACAAACAAAATAATTATAATAATTTGTTTTATTAATTAATTAATCATCCAAATAGTCAACACAATTATTTGAATGATCAATATTATACGTTGACATATATAAAATAACATACACTTAATACAGGGCATAATATAGATATTATTAGAGTAGATAATATTATATATCATAATTTTTAAGTACTCCATAAGTTATGCATCTATAAATACAAGTTTATATGTGTAAATATATAATATATAGATACGTAATATATGTAAAAGGAAAAGCTCCAAAAATGTACAAAAACCTATTTCGTAAGTTTAAAAACACACCACGGGGAAAAGATATTTAATAAATATTGTTTTTAATAACGTCTCCAAGTGTAATCAAGGTTAAGCATTTCTATAATCATAAAAAAAATTAAACATAATTATTGACAAATTTACAAATTATAATCAAAATCTTTAGCTACACAGTACACAGTCGGCCACATAAAAATTAACACTTAAAAAAATTTCAATATATTTACCAACTCTTAAAATACCATTCGCCGCTTTTAAAATAATTAACATTTCAACAAAATCGCGTAAATAACGTTATATCACATAACTAGTAATTTCTAATCTCTACAAAACTACAGTTTTAATTGTTTTAAACATACAAAATAATTATGAAAATATGCCACTTAATATTTGGCAAAATCACTTATTGAATCAAACATCAATACTAAGTGTAATACTATGGTTCCTTACCGAAACATCTAGAAAAATAGAGACAATAATCAATAAATCGAGAATCGGATATACATATTTTCTTAATAATAGACAAATAAAAAGAGTTGACAACTTGCACTTCATGTGGAGTAACAATAACAGTTGAACACATTTTCACAAACTGCCTATTTAGTTATCATACAAAGAAGCAATACTAAAATTCAACATTCACTCAAACCTATATGTATAAAGCAAGATATCTCAAACGACCTCATTCCCTTCCTCGAAGATACCAGACTGGATAAAAAAATGTAATAATTACAATTATTACTTAAATACTCTATTATATTATTTATTTAAACGTACATAGTATATATAAAAAAATTTAATTAAGTGTATTTATGTCCTTAGCTGCTGAAGTTGTAGATGATCAATAAAAAAAAAAAAATCAGTATGAGTATGTAATATTTATTGTGTAATGTATACCATGGTATAAATACCACATCACGCAGGTTGACACACACATAATATTATATGGTCATATTATATTATAATAATGTTGTATAAGTGAACGTAGAATAGATAAATACATATTATTTTATACGTTTATTTTAATTTTTCATAATGGATGAGTCGTTTCTACAATGAACAAAGTGATAGATATTATAATAGTATTACGTGTGCTGCTGGTGATCATGATCATGATGATGTAGTTATAACTGAAAGTCGGAAAAAAATCATAAAAAATTCTTTGGTTCGTAAACACTATATTCATTTTGTGGTAATAAACATTATTTATAAATCATATTGTTTGTAAGACGCTATGTTTTTATTATTTAGTAAGTCGTCATACATCTTAACGATTTATTAAAAAAACTTAAGTATTTTCAATGATTATATGGTATAATTGTATATGATCCCAAATATTATTATTTTTGTTGTAAATATTTTAAAATATTTATCATGTCCAAAATATATTAATATAAATATTAGACGATAATTTTAGAACTACAATTATTTTTCTCTAATAAAAAAAAACAAAAAAACAAAATTGATTTGGCCGAAAACTGTGATATATAAATACTTCAGTTTTTTTCATTTTTCACGGTTAATTTTTAAAAATTGTTTAAAAATGTTAATATTTTTCAATTAATTACTAAGTTATGAGATAACTATTCTTTGTAAACGTGTATGACGTACATAATATCAATTAATAAATTCTCAGGGTAAGCAGACGTAGATGTATAAAATTCGTTAAAAATCCAAATTCTTCTTATTATTTTTTTATTTTTTTGATCTAAATCAATCTAAAATTATGATATTTTAAACAGTTCAAAGCGTTATTTTATGCAGTGATTACTGATTCATAACATATATTATAATATGATTTCATAACTTTTTTATAAATAATAGCTCTAGTAGAGTACCTATATAAAAAACTAATTGAATTATATATGCTGATAAAAAGTATCACGTCCCGTAGAGTTTGACTATTTAGAGTGATGATGATAATAATATATTATAACTCACGTTACGTTTCTATACACTCAGCACTGTAGCAGAACTCTATAATGTATAGGTATACGCACGATTTACGGGGTAGGTATACCTATATTATAAAGGTATTATACATAATATAGACAACATAGTATGTCCTATGAAGCGGTACTCGTATTCCGAGAAACGTGCAGCAGTAACCTGTATAAATGTACACCGAGCCGTCAACGGCACGCTAGAGACGGAACGTACACATTTTTTTTCTCCCCTGTGGGGCCTGCGCAGTCATTCGAACGAATTACACATTTACGCCACACACATTTATCTATCTATATATATATATATATATATATATAACGTATACATTACACAACGATGCACATGTAATTGTTAAAATAGGTATGCCTTCACACACATACACGTCCATTATAATAGTATTTACGTAGAAAAAAGGGGTTGTCGTATGACATAATAAATGTGCATATTAAATTGCATTTAAAAAATAAAAAAGAATGGAAAAAGCTCTTATATAATACGATTTGAGAGCCTATAACCTATATGGGTACATAATATATATGCATGATACATCAAAAGGCAATATAAAATAATAATGTATCTATACACATATTATGTAAATGTAAAAATCAAAATCGATGTCACGCATGTCCTTTAAAACTACTATAGTCCGATTAAATTGATTTTTTTTTTTTTAACGAAAGGGTACATCGTTTTGAGCCTATTTTCGATTACATTGGTAATGACTAATGAAAAATCGAGTTATTAGTCTTTTAAATAATCAGCAAATACGCACATAAAGATATATATAGTTTTTTCATTAGTGTTACGAATTTTCAACTATGTTACACTAGAAATTAGTATTTTAGTGAATAGTTGATGTAGTATAACAGTGCAAAGCTTTTTCGTTATTTTGATTTACACAATTAAAAATTTATGAATTGTTGGATTTTGGTCTAGAATAAAAAGGAAATTAAATTTGGATCGTTCGAAAAAAAAAAATGCTGCTGTTATACGATAAAAAAAAAGTAATGCTGGGCAGGACAGCTATGTAAAGTTGATATGTCGGAAATATCATTTATACACCTAATCAGAAAACCAAAAATATTATTTATCCACACGCGCTACCATTATAGGTAAGTAAATTTAATATGGACGTTTTTTGTACGGGTAACAAGACGTGTACGGCCGTACGGGGATAGCTAGTATGATGTGTATTATAATTTATAAGTGTAAATAGTATAATATCAACACACGTCTTAAACATCGCCCGGAAAGTGTAAATAAATATCACGGTATTCGAATTGTTGAAAAGTACAATAATATGGGTAACCTTAAGGACGCGTCGACACTCGACAGCCCTTGCACTCGTGTCTCGCGTGGTGAAAAACGCAAGTAGACGCGCTCCAATTTTTAATCAATTTCAGATACCATACCGATATGTACATGCAGACCAATAACATAGGTACATTTTGTAAATTGTTTAAATAATATGTAAAGTGTACGGCGCAATACTGCACGGTTGCAGTGTAGACCGAATTTACGAACTCGAATTTAAACAATAACGCGTTTTAAAACTTTTTTCCGACAATGTGGACGAACGGAATACAAAAAGACAAAAAAAAAAAAAAAAAAAAACCGAAAACTACAGATGGAATATAAACCGAATGTTATACACTATAATATACAGTACGCGGGATCACCTGTTCAACAGGAGACGCATGAGCAGCAGGTTGGAGCCGATACACGACGTTCATAATACATAGTACCTGGGCATGATATTATTATATTATTTTTTTTTTTTTTTAGTCAAGACACGCGGCGGCGGCGGCGGCTTTACCGTTATCACGGAGAAAACGCGTTGCCAGCGGTGTTGGTGGGGGCGAGGGGCGGGAAAATTCGCGTCTTGATGTGGCGCCACGCCGCCGCCGTCAACAAGCCAGCTCCAGCGAGCGTATAAGACGGGCGGACGGTCGGCGGGCGCGGGTGGTCCGCGTAAAATGGGAGTCGCGCGCGCGCCAGTCATTCGGTCGTCGTCGTCGGTCGTCAACGACTCCACAGAAGAAAAGGAGAAGAAAGTTAAACTTTTCTCATCAATCATAACATCGTCGTGGTCATGTTTTTGACGGTGGACGCGTCACTCGTTCCTCGCTCGACGTCCGAATATTATTATTGAATAACGATAACTGTAATAATATTATATTGATCAACAAGCGCTCGGGGCCGTTCAACAGAAACGGGCGAAACGGTTTTTAAAAATCGTAACTATTTGACGATTTATCGATAAAAAAAAAAAATAAAACCCGTACGCAATTTCGCGATCGGCTAACGCCGCCGAGTGTCGATCGCCGTCGTCGTCCACTTCGCGGGAAAGTCGTATTGCCGGCGATTGCGCGTGGCGGCGCCGATAACGGCCAACGGGCCGTGATATAAACGCGCACGCACCGCGTACGACGGTGGCGGTCGGTCGGACTACGCGAAAGGCGAGAATCTCCTCAGACTTATCACTACGATAACGATATAATATATATATATATATATATGAGGAATAAAATAAACAACAGTAATAATAATATTTACGGTGCATAATGTTATGATCTCATCGCCGTGGCAAGACGTACACCTATTGACTAGCAACACCGCGCCGCAAGCACCTCCCTAGAACGCACGTAGGTAGTCGTCTCTCGCGTGTTCGTTCGTTCGGTCGACGTCATGACGTGCCATCGTCACCACCGCCGATGCGACGATAGATGAAAAACGCCATCGGCCGTTGCGATTTACAGCAGCCGACGACCAAACATGGGTGAGTGTTGATGACATTTTGTTTACTAGTTTCTTTGTTGCGTCTGTTGTTTGTTTCTCGTCTGGCGGTTGTCACCGCGTCATATTTACCCGTCTGTTTCGTGTGCATAGAAGCGGTGGCCCAATTCGATTACGCAGCACGCGAACCCGACGAATTGACGTTAAAGAAGGGAGACGTCATCACCGACGTCAAACCCATGCCCGACGGATGGATGGAAGGACACAAGGATGGCAAGAAAGGAATGTTTCCTGACAACTTTGTTAAGGTGGGTACTCTAAAACTATTCGTTGGCTTTAATCCAGGTTTCCGCTCAAACTAATCGTATTGATGCTGTATTTTATAGATTGTTCATACTTCGGCTGGCGTCGTTTTGAGAAAAAGTGAGTAATTTCATTTACCTATAGAAATTTATAGATGTTACTATATGGTTTTTTTTAACTTTAGAAAATACAAGAAAGTGTAAGGTATTGTTTAGTTACAAACCTGCAAACAGAGATGAACTGGAGTTGAACATAGACGATGTAATCGAAGTTCTTGGCGAAGTAGAGGAAGGTTGGTGGAAAGGAGAACTTAGAAATGAAGTGAGTACTGATTTCATTACATCATTATGTTTCTACACTTAAGTATTTTATCTTTATTCAAGCTTTAAATATTTATTGACCTCAATATCTCATTTTTTTCTTAAAAGTGTATCAAACACCAGATCTAACTTAACGTTAAAAATAGCATTTTTTAAGTTTATATTAAAATTTAGTGCAAGGATATTATATTTTTGGTGTTATTACAAAATAATTGTCATAAACATGTTTATTTTGTCAATTATTGTTATCTACCATATCTTTTTACTTGTTCTTCTGATATTAATTGCGTTGGATGTAATAGTGTAAATAAATAATATATATTATACTATTGCAGCTTAAATACTGTTAGCCTTAACAATTATTAATTATTTTTAAAATAATAATTAACTATATTAAACTGTCAAACATAATATATATTTTAATCTTTAAAAAATTACATAGATATTAAATTTTCAATTTGTCTTTTTAATGTTAATAAATGTTATAATTTTTAAATTACGCTCAATATAATATTTACTGTTTTAAGGCTTCAAATTTTATAACAATAATAGGTACTAGATATTATTTGATAATTCACACACTCAACATTTTAAATTTTTTGATTATCAAATAATTCATACATAGTTTTATACAACAAATTAATTCAATTCACATTAATTACATGTGAATAAATTAATTAATTGTGTCTACATTGTCTTGATAAATTAGTTAGGCATAATAATGGTGTATGCTTTCTTTTAATTATTATTTAGATTAGTGAATTTTTATTGAATTATTTTTATTAGGTACTAATTATTACTTTCTTCTTAAAATATTAATATTGTTGGAATACTTTTTGATTACTAATAATATTATCTAAGTTCTCATTAGTGTATTAAAGACAATGACTATATTTTTATTGCACAAATACATCAATGTGTTAGTCAAGAACAAATGAATGTGTGACAAATACTAAATGATTAATATTTAGATTAATGATTATTTAGAAGGTTACACTGACATTTATGTACTTATATTAGTATGCTTTAACAGCTATAGATAATAAAAATTATATTTTTACATTTATCACAACTATTGAAATAACTTCTCTAATAAACTCGTGTGAATAGTGAATATCCCTTAAAAGAGTTTTTAAACATAAATTATTGAGAAAACGACTATACATATACCTTAAAATTAGATTTATTAAATATTAATTAAATTTTATTCATATATCTAAATTTTGGTTTTATTTTTAAATTGTTAATGTATAAACATGTTTTAAGTGCTAATCTATGAATAATGCTATTTGATAATATGTTGTAAATATTTATATGTATATTTTTTATAATTACTATCAAAATATTTTATAGTTTGTCTTATTTTAATTTTTTAATAAACAGAAACCTAAATAAACAATTAAAATGTTTATATGTTTGTATATTTTAGTTAAAATATCTTTTTATACTTGTGAAATTTAACATTTTTACTAGAATAAAATATTGTTATGCCCATATAAAGTTTCTGACCCAATTAAAAAATCTTTAGTTGTTATTTACAATTAAATATATGTGAAAGTCTAAGAAAAATATTCTTTAGTCTTTTTGTTACATAATTTAAACAATTTTGTATTTTTTAATCTTTAATAATTTATTTTAGGTATTTAAGAAAAATAATTGTTTTATTATCTATTCCTTATTCAAATATTTATAACACATTCATGAGTAATTGTCTAATATATCATCAAAACATATTTATATTTATTATTATTTTTAAATTTAGATTGGTGTATTTCCGTCTAACTATGTTACTGAAATATCAGACACTAAGAGTATCAGTAGAAGTGACTCCAAAACTTCTACTGGATCCCTTAATAAAGAAGAAAACATTAAGAAAGGTAATTTTTAAGGATATAATCTGTGTAAATATTAACAACTTCAATTTTGATTATTATTTAATTTAAAAAGAAATTACATAAACATAATCTATATTTTAATATAATTATTTTTATTTAGAAAAATCTGTTGTGGAACCAATCAAAACCGCTGATAATAATATAGAATCTAACGCTCCAGTTCTACCTCCAAAACCAGGTATATACTGTTAATTCCACAGTTCTAAGTAAAATATTTAAATATAATAATTTTGCATTAAAATATACAACCTATTAGTTAAATACACATATAATACTATAGACTTTAGTTTAATAAATTTTGTAAACTATTATTTTATACCCACACAAATTGATAAAAAGTCATGAATGCAATATACTGATTATTAATCACTTGAAAGATAAAGCATGTATCAATAAGTCAAATTTTAATTACATTATTTTAGTAATGTATCAAACTTCAGTTATTCTTGTCATTAACAGTTTTAATTCAAGTCCATTATTTATTAATTTGTGCTTTTAATTTTACTCAAGAATATCTATAAGTTATGAAATTAGTGAAACAGAGATTGTCTTACTTATTTCACTGTAAGTGTTAAAATTGTTTTATAACCTTAATACCCATTTGTTGACGATATATTTTCAGTGTTAAAAATATACTTAATCTAATCATCATGAATCAATTATTTTTAAAACATCAGTTTTTTTAAGGTCAATACACTCAATTCAATATATGCATGTATAGATATTGCTAATTGACATTTCTAAATTACAGCAATTATCCAGTCTCATATTTATAAATTGATCTGAACACAGAAATATATGTCTTATTTAATGTTTTATAATTGTTTGAATTTATACAGCTAAAGAAATTTGTGTTGCACTCTTCCCTTACGAAGCCGTTAATAGTGATGAACTGTCGTTAGCTGAAGGTGATATAGTTACTATTTTATCACGTGAAGTTGAAGACAAAGGCTGGTGGAAAGGAGAGCTTAAAGGAAAAATTGGTGTATTTCCTGACAATTTTGTTCAAATAATGAATCAGGATGAGGTATTTTTTATTATTACTGTTGTTATTAGTTTAACTATAGCTTACTATAATCATATGTTTTTACTTTTGTTGATTCAGTTGGCAACTAAATCGGAAAAAACTGTGAATAGTCCACGTAGCGGTACAACTGCTTCATTACGTAAAGTTTTTCAGAGCCAAATGGAAAACAAATCTTTGGGACCAGTGGTGAGCAAAAAACCAGCTCTACCACCACCACCACCTACAACCAAAAAACCACCCTCCGCCAAAACTTCAACGTCTTCCTTGTCAAAAACTATTAGTGGTATTAAATCTATGTTGAATTCTGAACAAAATTCTACGGATAAGACGAAACACATAACATCTGAAATTGGTGATTCTAAACAATACGGCTCTATAGCTGTTAAACGTTCAGAATCTGTGGGTTCTATGAAGAAATCGTCTGATTCACCAGATGGATCAAGTATGAGTAGATCAATCTACCATGTTACGCCAGAATCGTCTCCTACATCATTAGTGTTCACAAATGTATGTATATAAAGTTTCCGTATTATTAAGTGATTTATTGTGTAATAAATATATTTATTTTTTCTTAGCATGATAATAGTTCTCCTGAGCCCAAGAGTCCTGATTTTGATCAAATCGAAAGAACTGCCATGCTTAGTCACCCAACCGCATCTCGAGCTAAAGCACCTAGAAGAAGACCACCGTCTGCAGCTTTTAATGTTCCCAGTGAGGATGATCCATCATTGGATCCTCCACCAATAAATGGTATACCTGGTGTGGATAAAGAAAAAGCCCCGTGGGTTCAAGAATTGAAGATGAATCAGGCAAAGAAATCATCAATCACTAATTCTGTGATAGGTATGTTTTTAATAATAAAATTATACATTGAATTTTTATTATTTTTTCTATTCAAAAATTATTTTTTTATTTAAATTGAAAAAAATTATTTTTTTATTTAAATTGAAAAAAATATTAATTATTTTTTTTAAATTCAATGTTTGTAAATTAGGTGGCGGTAGAACTCGAGTGATGATCAATCCATCTACAACCACTATAACATCAGAGAGTTCAGAAACCACAACAGTTACATCCAGATCAGGATTGACTGCAGTAGGCTTGGGTGGTGTTGTTTTTAAGCCTCCTGGTTATGTACCACCTCTTACAACACCTGAATCAGTAACAGTTACCACACCAACTAGTCCTGTTGTACCTATAACAGCTGATTTTAATCTGTCGACACCATCAATAGAGGGAAATTTAATAACAGTGTTAAATGAAAAGGTAATTAATAAATTGGCAAATAAAAATGTATTTTATAATAAATGGTCTAAAATTTGGTTACTAGGTCAAACAATTGGAATCCACCGTTCAACTGCAAAACAGTTTACTTGACAAATTGTCGACAAAGTTGGAAGTGGAGATTGCAAAACGTATAGAGATTGAGAAGGAAATGAAAAAAATTATGGAACTCGTTACAAGAGTATGATTTGGATAACAGTATTTCCATATAAATTAATAGTTATAATAATGAAAAGATAATCAAACAAGTACTTAAGACCATTACCAATTTGTTGTTTATAATTTATTTATTTAACATGTAACTTTGCATTGAATATCATTATTATGTTTAGTGTATGTACATTTTTAATCAATTAGTATTGATATTTGAAATGTATTCTAAGAGTCAATGCCAGAACTCTAATCTCAATTCTGTGTTTTGTCTCTTAAAAAATTAGTATTAATTATTATCTTTTGTGTAAACCTATACACATTAAACCCATGTCCCTTGCATATAATTTATTTATCTTTTATTCTTCTAGTCCTTAGAGTCAAATTTTTCATCATCTTTGTTAGCATTTTTAATTAAGTATTATTGTATTTTAATCATTCCTTGAATTTTAGTTCATTTTGAACACCAAATGTGATAAATAGTGGCATTTCAGACAGTTAATAGTTAATTCAGTTTTCACACTTTACCTCTTAGTTCTAAAAAAAAAAAACACTTAAAAACAAAATTCTAAATTATTGGGTAATCAATTCAATTTGTATTCTATTTTAATATCTTGAAACAAGCACACAAATATAAGTTAAATTTTCAGTTGTACAGGTGCCACCCAAGTTTATTTTCTAAACAAATTTTTAAGTGATTTTTAGGTTTACTTATTTTTAACATTCCTTAGGGTTACACATGTTATTATTTATTATAACTCTAAAAAAAAAAAAAAAAATGTACTTACTCAGAATTTTTTTTAGTAATAGTATTCAATTATTGTGTTCTGTTAAGTTTTGTTATGTATATTTAGACTGCCATGAATGTGGTGTCTATGGTGTTTGAAAATGAATGTATGGAGAAAACAATGTTGTTAATCGGATACTCAGTTGTAATTTTATAAAGTGGCTTACATACCAATATTCATATACACACTCTAATATAAATTATATTTTTATATATTTATTAACTGATTCCCTAGTCCAATTTTTACATCGCTAAATGTTTAATGTGCTAAAAAATTGATTTTTTTATTTTACACATAAATGATTCAGTCATGGCTAAACTGTTTTCTACCATTATTGTGTTAGATTATAATTTTATATTTTATGTGAATCATATTAATTTTAATAGTTTTTATTTTATACTAATTTATTTTTAGAAAATCTTTAGTTTAATTCTTGTTTAATGAATCATGTACATAAAATGTATTTGATTAAATGTATTTAAGAAAAATTAATTATATGCTTAAAAATAGGCAAACGACTGATTTTGCACACAATATGCTCTATACAATATAACATCATGTTCTACAAAATTAAATACATTATGTATTTCTCCCTCCCTTTAATCGACTGTTCATCCAAAAACCAGTCATATTAATTTAGTTAATTTTTTTATTGTATACCTATATTTTCATAAATAAAATCTTATAGCAATTATTCAAATAAACAAAATATTTGAACATTTTGCAAATATTATTTTTCTGAAATGTGAAGTATCTATTTAAGCCAATAACAATGTTATACAATTATATACCATTGATTATTATAAATATTTTTATTATAGAAAAATGTTTAATTATCATTATTCAAATATTATTATTATTATTATTATTATTATTATTATTACTAACTATTGTAAGTAAGTTGTCCAACGGTGTCATATATATTTTATAAATTGTTAATTTTTATTTCCAATAAAAGTATTAAAAATATATTTGTATGTAATTATATTATGGTTATTATAATATAAACACCATATTGATTCTTTTCTTATCCATAATCACTTAACATATGGTAATATGGTCAACAAACAATAATAAGTTTAAAAAAAAAATGTATTTGCTTGCAGGGTATTTATTTTATGTCCTGTGAATTGTTATGGATTAGAAAGATTGATGTTATTTAGAAGCCAGACTTTTAATTATAACAAATAGTTAAGGGTCTATAGTATCAATACATTTAAAAAAAAGTATACTACACCTATACGTCCTAAAAAGCCATTAAATTAGAGTTTTTAGATAAAAATGTTATATTTAAAAGAGTTCAAAAAATCAAACTGAAATTGTTGAAAGTTGAAATTAAAGTAGCATAAATGGGAATCATCAAATCTGTTTCTTGACACAAAATTCTAATTTCAAAATGATTGCAAATTTTACTAAGTTGAAAACGATTTAACAAGATCAATTAAAATTAACGAACAACAAAAAACTGTAATTTACCGGTAAAATAAATTAAATTTATTGGCATCGGTCACTAATGTATTCTGACTGCTCTGAGGTCAAGCATCGACCGGCGTCGCTAGCTCTCGGATGGGTGACCAACCGAGTTCTTAGTGTCGAATCCATGGCGCACACACATACACACACGTGTTTCAACCCTACTAACCAAATCTTACAAAACAAACCTTACACAGAAAAAAAGAACTACTGTTTCTATCCACACCTAATGGTCTTAGTTGTGGGGCTTAAATAACATAAACAGTAATAATAATAATAATAATAATAATAATAATAATAAAAAAAAAATTTAATTTGAAAATACAAATCACTCAGCACCTGCTTGCATGCCATGTGTTTTGAACCGTACCATAGATGGAATCATAATTTTTTATGTTAATGTGTGAATATAATATTTAAAACGTAATCAAACTTTAATATCGATGTAATTTTTTTAATAGTCATGCGTTCTTCGAGGTGTATATATTGTATATACTCTTCTCGTATGAATGCGTAATCGATAAAAATAAATAATGAATAATTGCATATTACGATATTATAATACCTATACCTACTGTGCATATTGCTATTTAATACATAGATCTTTTATCGTGGTTACAAGCAACCGTGTCGTGTCGTCTACATTGTTTATCGTCTGTACAGGTACTCCTTTAATACCACCTATGTTCATACAATCATACATCCTATAGGTACACCACTCGTGCCTGCAGGCTACGATGTTATGTTAGGTACGTAAAAATATTTCGAGTTGGGTACCTACTTATTCTATAATCTCGGACGTTGCGCGGGCACCACCTACACTTTAGAAAACCTCAAGAGTGCACGTAGTTATATGTACATAATGTAAATGATATATTTTTTTTTTTCAATGTCGCCATAGTTATCGCTCATCTACTCGATTTTTACCCGTCCATCGATTTAACGGGATTTCGGCGATAATAAATCGGTAAACGCGGCAGTAAAAAACATGTAAACCGGTTCGCGCGATCGGTTTTTAACATGTATAGGTACATAAATATGTATGCGCGTATTATATTATATTATGTGTACCTAATATAATTTGTATTATAATTACGTGTTAAGTATATTTAACAGAAATGATGATGATTATGATATTATTATAAAAATTAGTGTCCGATCTGTCGGCGAGTAATGGGTATTCGCGGGTAGGTAGTAGGTGTAGGTACCTACCCGGCGTTTGACTTTATAGTGTGGGTGGTGGAAAGTCGCCGGGGGGGACTGGGTATCTCGACCAAATGTTCAAATACGTATCGGCTTAGCGTAGGTATACTCCTATTTTTTATTTTTTATTAAGACGCATCGCGGACGGTACAGGTACTTTATTTAAATTTTTTTACGAAATTTATTGAGATATAGGTATATCATAATGTGTATGTACTATATATATATATATATATTATTGTTCAAATATATACATATTGAATAGAATATTATAAAAACCAGCTCAATTAAAATTTATTTAAAACTGTGTAGGTACCAACCTGTATCGTACTGTTTTTATTGATTAGTATTTTTTAAATATACCTGCAGTATTATACCACATTCGCTTGCAAACGTCTACCACCTACGCGTGGGCGTCCACATGGGGGGGGGGGGCAAGACGGGGCACTTGTCCTTCTCCCTATAATTTTAAATTTGTTACCTAATTGTGATAATTTAATGTAATGATGACGAAAAAAAGTATAATATAACAATACCTAAATGTAATAATGACGAAACATAATTATGTACTACAAAATTAAACGTATAAAAAAATCTTCGTTTATTTTTTGAATTAATTTTGTCCCCTCCCCCTAGAAAAGATGTCTGAGGACGCTCGTGCACTTGCGATCGTTTATGGTTGAAACTTTTAAGATAAACGCCTGGAATGAGTTTTAATATGTCTGAGCCATTCACGAGAGTGTGTTTAAATGGCCGTGGCCCGCGGAGGCACAGAGCTCACCACGGTTATACTATAATATATTAACTGGTATTAATTGGTCACATCTCACATATTATATATAATTATAATTTATAACAATAAAATAATATTAAAATGTTGTTTATAAAGCCACTGAAAGGGTTCACGTGCTCGCCGCAATGCTAAGCAGGCGCTTATATAATACAATTTTTAATGACGTATATATATATTATAATAATATATGAATGCTACGTCACGTTTTACATGCATAATATGCATACGTATACATAGGTGTGTATTGTGCGATAAATAATTCCGAGACTATATAAAAATATGTGTATATTAAATGTTATATTATTATATGGTTGTCTTAAAATATTATGTTATATAATATATATATATACTTACGGCGCACGTGTATAATTATTGTCGATCGGTCCGTGACTAGGTAATAGGTATATTCATTCCAGAAACGAAGGTTATACGTATTTGCATACCAAAAGCAGACGAAAAAAATTCACGAAATCCTATAATTTGTTTTGTTTTTTTCAGATCATATAATATAATATAATATGCAATATAACCATGCCTTACGTATGTATTTATATATATGTATATAAATATATAAATTCACGCCGTGCGCGACTCCCGACAGCGCGTTCCCAGTAAGATAATGTATAATAACAATATATTATTGGTAGTTTAACTACCCGGAACGGTCCTGCAAGTCGAGGTCGTAATAATTTTCGTGTTTTAATTATTGCGGTCAGCGTCATAAATAATAGAGACGTAGGTACCTACCTATCACGGGTACGTTCTAGTCTACACATAAATACCTATTTAATATATAATACATACCTAATATCCAGGACCAAGGCGCATTCATATACCGTGCTGCACGCAGGTACATATCGTTTTGTTTCTATTTCATCGTCAGAGATGTACAATACAATATGTATGAAGGATATTGGGTTTTAACTTACTATACCTAATACACAGTCCTATCTATCATAATATCAAAAATAGATACGACATAACGACATATCTCTTATCTCCTCGTGAGACGTCCTATTAAATAGTTATAGCTTATAGCTAAATAATAAATAATAATGCGAAAATTATTTGACTTTTTAATTCTCACCACTGCAAGTCTTTCTTCTCTGAAAAAGTTGTCTTTCCCACCACGTTCTTTTTTTATTAATTTTTTTTTTTTTTAATATTTTATTACGCATCATAACAAACGCAGCAGCGCCAATGCAGCATGCGACTTGTTCTATATCTGACATGGTCACGACTGTTGGCAAACATATGATATAGCGAACAACAAATTATAAACAAACGTTTGTTGTCATTAATAAAATGTTTGATAAACGTTTGACGAACGTTCGACAAATTTTCGGCAAACGTTTGACAAACAATGTTTTCCCAAACGTTTGTTAGGTGTGGACGCAGCTTAAGCTATCATAGAAAATAATGCGTATCGAGACTATACGAGTATACAAAAGTCATAGACTGATAGACCATAGTATTTATAG